CGTGTGGTTTAACTAATCGATTGGACTATCGCTTCATATTTCTTAGAAGAAATCTTCAGAATGTGTGTATATAGGTCGTTTAAAACGTCATAGTGAACACTATACAGTATGGGTGTAAAGGGCTAGGTAGCACTGGTTTATTCAGAAGCGCTCTGACTGAACACTACATGTTATAACATCTTGACTTTGATATCATCATAATCACTTACAAAGTAAATACGAAAACTACCGACTTATTTGTAGTAGAGAAGTCCTAGTCACATGTATCGAGAATTCATAGCTGTATTTCAAAGATGTTAGTTCAACCTTTACATCTACTTTTTAAGGCTAATTAGAAATGCTATGCAGACTTCATTAGACTGTTTTATGAAGCAGTCAAGTAAGTACAATAAATTAATAACAAAGTATAACCACTAAACAATGTGAATAAGATTCGTAACTTTGCAAGAAGGATTAGATGAGAGGGTCGAGTGAGAAAGGCAAACATCAGATACGTGTCGGTCCATTTGGAGGCTGGTTTCTTTGATCCTTCTCGTAAAGTTACTGAACTCTGACCGCGATCGATCATGTGCGGTTTTAGTCCTGTGGCTGAGAAATAAGAATGGACTTCCTCTGCATTGTGTCAAGTGTTTGTGATTTCATTGTCTGATGCTCGACAGCACACTCATGACTGGTGCGGATAAGGGAATTAAATCCATTGTATGATAAAAGTGTTGCATCAAGATCACTTGCCTTTGCCTGAAATTCAACGAGAAATTCTGCTATTTGAGTGAAACATCTGCCTAACAGAACCGTGACGGTATGACTTGAACTACCTGCTAGAAGGTGGTCTTAATGTAACAACAGAAGACAAGAGTCAGGCAACAGATCGTTTGCCGAGGAAATCAAGAGATATTTATGTATTTTTATGTACATTATTATTCGCTTTTGTTATTAGCAGAGAAACAGCGTCTCTTGATTAGTTGTTTTCTTGCTGGAAGTTATTCTATCATCTCTTTGTGGCCATTTCTTTGAAGGTTAGACCATACGTCTGCAAATCGTATCCACCCACGCAAAGTCTGCTGTGATTGGTTGTTGAATTAGTCTTTGTTTTTATTTTTTTCTCATGACCAAGATTTGGGACGTAAACATTGACGTAAATTGCTCTCTAGCAATTTTGGCTAGCAGACAGCTCTCACGACATTAGTATTAGTGTAGCGGCAAATTGGCAGTAATGGTCTTGGTGTAATACTGTTTACTCAGTGTGACGGAATGATTATTTGCAAAATCCCTCCACAACGATCAACTAACTTTATAATCACTATCCTCTTTGATCTAACGTTTACGTATCATATGTTCATTTGATCCGTATTATATGTCTTTTTAATGCTTCTCCTTGGGGTTGTATGAAGGTAATGATGTGTTGTTTTACAACTGAGATTATTTTTGAATGATTCAAGATCATTCTGACTTTGGACTCTCTCGAGGGAAGCATTTGATGCTTAATCCTCCCGACAGAAATCGATCCCACCTTGTTAGAAATACTCTTCGTGATTCTCGGGTACTTCTTACGGTTAAATTGGTTAAATAGTTCTGTTCTATACTACTTGTTTGTCGCTTAGAAACTAATTTGATCTGTATAGCTACCTAACGGTGTAGATGAGGTAATTCTGAGTTTTGAAATGTTATTATTGTGACACAGTACTGCAGATTCTATCGGAAATAACTGTCGTTTTGCTATCTCGATTTCACCTTTAGGCATAAATCCGACCTAAACAAACTGGTTGGCTCTCACGAGGTGTGCAACATAGATGGCACTGAAATAGAAACCAAGTCGGAAATTAAATACCTAGGCGTCATTCTATCTGCTGATCTCTTCTGGTCGTCTCATATCTTGACGATTTCTAAGAAAATATTCCGTCTTACCTTCTACATCAAGAAGTTAAAACATTCCGGTATAACCCAACCCTTACTCCTACAATTCGTTAATTCTCGCATTCTGCCTATTATTCTCTATTGTTCCCCCTTAGTTTTTCCCGGGCTACTGAAGAAGGACTATATCTTATTACGTAGGATGTTAAATGTTGTCAGCAGGGTAAGCAACGTGCCACTTAACCAGCTTGTTAATATTCTGGTCGACAGGCACATGGACTCATGTGAAAAATGGGCCAAGTCCATTTTATCTAACTCACACCACCCTCTTCACTCACAACTCTCCCCTTGCATTTCATCAGGTAAAACCAGAAGCCAATATAGAAAACTATATGCTCGCACCAGCAAGTACGAAAACTCAACCATACCCTACTTAGCTCGTGTTCTGTGCGATAAAGAAAGCATTAGGCGTGACACCTATAACTTATTAAATAGTCAGTAGAACAACTGGATCTCGTCTTTCCAACTCATATCATTTATAGGTACAACATTTTCTTTCCTTCTTTTTCTTTTTTCTCTCTCTCTTTTTTCCGTTATGTGCTGCTTTGTTTCTTTCTTCCGCTTACGCCAGTAAATATGATAGCACCTACTTTTCTAACACCTTGGCTCTTCTACCGATATGCCAATATGTTGTTGTCATAATGAACTGAGATTTCCTTAATCTATGTGGAATTCTATTTATTGATAATGTACTAACTGGATGCAATACTGTAGTGAAAATGCTGAGAATTCCATTCTGTATCACAAGTACTGTTTTGGAATAAAGCAAATTATTATTATCTCTGGGGGATGTTTTGAATGCAGGAACTCAAGAAAGTCCTATAAGCTTTCAAGTAGAACGCGTAGTTTGATTTTCTGCGTTAAGACCATAACACGTGGGTTCCAGTCGCTGCATCCAGTGCTTTGAATGTTAAAGTGAAGAAATTCAGAATAAGCCTGGGTTTCAACCTGGAAGTTTATATTGATTGAAAATCAAACTATCGCACTGCAGTCCCTACAACTTGAGGATGCAGAAATTAGCTTGCTCAGGGATTCGATTGGTTATGTTATATAGTTGTTGAATTGACATACTCAGTCTTTACCGATGGTTAAGCCGATCAAAATATGACCATTCTCTCAGCCTGATAACAGCTGCTGTTATACACTGAAACACGGACCTAAATTTCTTGAATTCCTAAATTTCTTCCCTACCTTTTCCTCAGAATATGATCCACACAAAACACTTCGAGGATCTAGACTTCGCCGATGATGTATGTCTGATACTTCACAAACTGAAAGATATACAAGTGAAAAGCAACAAGTTGGCAGAAGAAGCATCTGGTGAAGATAGGACTTCAGGTGAACATACAGAAAACAGAGGTGATGAAGATTCCTGGCCAACAGCAACAGCAACAACAACAGACAACAGTCAGGCAGTATAAATAGGAGAGTTCTGAAAGAAACAACCTCCTTCACCTACCTACCTACTTAGGAAGCATCGTTCCAACTACAGGCAGACGGAAATGATGAGGTTATCAAAGAGAGGATCATCGGGAAAGCAAGGCAAGCCTTCATTACGCTCAAATCTGTGTGAAGGTCAACAGCACTCAGCATGGAAAATAAGATCCGGATTTTCAACTCCAATGTGAAGTCAGTGCTACTATACGGATCAGAGACTTGCACTGCGCGTCATGAAGAGCATCTCAAACAAACTACAGACCTTCATCAACAGCTGTCTTCGCTCAATACTCAAGATCAGATGGCCAGAAAAGACCAGCAATAGGGATCTCTGGGAGCAAACCAACCAGGAACCGATTGTGAAACAAATAAGTAGGAAGAAATGGAGGTGGATTGGCCATACTCTAAGGAAACCATCAAGTGACATCACAAGCCATTGCTCAAGTGGCACCCGAAAGGGAAGCGGCTAGTTGGTCGTCCAAGGGTGACTTGGAGGAGGTTGTGGGAAGAGGAGATGAAAGCATATGGACAGACGATGAGCAAGGTGTAAAGGTTGGCAGAGAGGGGAACGCAATGGAGACGTGCAGCTGAAGCACCATGTTCCTCTAGAAACTAAAGGAAATAATAATAATACCCCATAGTAAAAAACAAAAACACCATTTACAATTCTGAGAATGAATTATATATATACGTTTAGCAAAAGAAAGTTATTTGTACATTATTGTGCTGTATAAATTATATAAATATCTAGAAAAAGCCTGGTATATATAAACAAGATTGACAGATCACAAGTGTTAATTTTATCCAAACACAGCAAGGGTAGGCAAGTCAATTACCCACCGCCCTATAATCCTTTACAAGGTGGACTGACAATCGGTCAGTCAATCAGACTGAAACCAAAATTTAGACCATGAATCCTTCCGTCTGTTGAAAAAAAATTCCTAGACGATTACAACACAATGTACACACACATAAATGATAATAATAATGATTGTAGAATCAAATTATGCATGAATAAAGGCCGAAAGAAGAAAATAAATAACGCCAGTTCATTGAAAAACCTTCCCATAACAATTAAGAAGACGGAAAGATCCTAGAAACACACAATCAAAGAAGTATTTTAAAAAAAAAACTAGATCAGCAAATCCAACTCGACATGACGAAAGGTCGAGGGACGAGAAACCTGTTTTTCTCACATATATACAAAAAGCTTCATGAAAAAATAAGGAGTAGTTAGTGTCGGAAAGAAACAATGGGGTGAGCACGGGCGGAGAGGGAGGGGGCAGACAGCAGAAGAAAAACTGCTCAAATCAGATAGCAGAAAGGAAGCTACTGGGAAGCTAATTTTGAGCTAAGCTCTTCCCAATTTAAAATGAATATTTAAATAATGAATAATAGTAATAATAATAAATAGCCTATTTAAGAAGCGCAGAATAGAATTGCTCCCACCAACCATAAGAAAACAGGACTAATAAATGTAAATGTAAACATTTTCAAGCTAATACGTTTAGCTACTTATAAGTAGTTAAATGCATCATTATGAAAACTTTCGAGGAAAGCGGTTAACTAAGTACATGAAAGTTAACATTTTACACAAGATGAAAATATAATCTGTCACCAAGTATATGAAAAGGGCTAATCTATTAAAATTCTTATGGTTGCTGGAATTTATTGATCATATTCTTTACAATGCCTAAACGTTGGTTTGCAACATCATGAGAAGTAGCAGTCGTCTTGTTATGGCTTAAAGAAGGATTATGAAGGCTTCTCAGTGTTGGTGAATAATTTCTACTCGGAGCAGTTTTCTCTTTGATAAATGTACGAGGAATGTCACTGGAAGATGATGTACTGTTAAGTCGTCGAGGTGGTTTAATTGGTTTCCCTTTGTTAGTGTTATTGTCATCATCAGTAGAAGCAGTAGTAGTCCTGTCTTTTAAGTGCAGAGAATTTGCTTTGAAAAGACCATTAGGTTTAGTTGATATTTCTGAAAGTGATGATATCACAGCTTTTACATGACCGCTACATACAGGCTCTACACATACATCATCACCTGCAGAAAAAGTGAGACAAATGACAATGAAAAAGAACAGCAAAAACGTCAAATCTAATACATTTATGAAACAATTCTTATATTAAAACGTTAAATACAATTAAATTTAATATAATTTCAAGCCACAGTGAATTCACATTTACTAAAATTGTAAGTAACAAGGTTACAAGATAATTGTTAAGGAATAATTATTATGGCGATGTTTGGCTGTGAAGGGAGTACCGAGAAAATACATTGCACTGATCAAGGCAATCTACTCGAACTCATGCAGTCAGCCAGGTGACAGCCCACGGATAGTTATCATCCGAAGTGGTGACAACTATAGTGGTGTCCGTCAGGGATGCCAACTGTTCCCATTTCTGTTTAATTTCATCATAGATGTACACACTAATGGACTTAACCCTAACTGACTTCAGCGACTCGGGGATTGACTTATTACCAACAGGGAATAATCTCGTTGACTTAGAATATGCAGATAATATAGTCCTGATCCTAAGTAAACACGCTGAAAAAATACAGCACAGTCTTCTGAACACCTTGGGCAGGGAAAAATCTTCGAATGTTTGGCACACGATTTGCTCTCGTCAAATGTAAGATGATGCTACAGGACTCGACTATATCGACTACTCATAGCTTAAAGATAGGAAGTGAAGTGGTTGGTAGAGCGTCTTGACGATTTCACTTATTTGGGAAGTTGCATCAACTAGTGGTAGCGGGTTGATCGCTGACGAAATCTCAGCATGGATACAGAAGACTCGTTTGGTATACGCCAACATACGCCATCTCTGGCTCGGTAGAGGTGATATCCGGCTAGCTGTCGACCAAAGGACGTGTATACTGCGCACCAGTTCGCTCGGTCCTACTTTATGGCTGTGAGATATGGTCACTGAAAATGGAAAACATGAAAAGCCTGGCTAGCTGTCTTTGATCATAGGTGTCTGCATTCTATCTCCTATTTTAGGTGGTATAACAAGGTGAGTAATATTGAGGTCAGGTTTTCGTTGAGTGCTAGGTAGGGAGGGAAAACTGATTGATGAAATTATGAAGTTACACCGATTAAGATGGTTAGGACATGTGTTGTTACGCATGCATGTCTAGCCATCACTTTCTTCAACGGGAAATGTTAGCTGAAAAATGACAGTGGTGGTCAAACCAAAGCCAACATGGCTTCATCAGTCAATGAAATCCACAACAGTTAGCTTAAGCCAGCCAGGTAGCCAGGTGTAGATTGCCACCCAGGTCGGGGTCCTCGGGATGGTAAGAACCAGTGAAGGTTGGAGACAATTGGTGATGACTCAAAGTCGTTCCCAATGGCGCAGATACATTTACTCTTTGTCATTTATAATACCCAATAAAATTATATTATTCTTCGCCCATATTACTATTCATTTTGCCTATACTTTTGAATCACTTTTCACTTTCTTCACTTGCTTTGTGTGCTAAGTGAAGTGTGGCAACTCAAACTCCTGCACATCTGTGCAAATTTCTACGTTGAAAGCAGTCAGTCAGTCAATCGCTACTATGCAGGCTAAAAAGACCAGAATACAAAATACTCATCTACACGATAAACTGTAAAAAGGATTACATTGTTCAAAGTATCGTCTGCTTCACCTTTCTCATCCAAGAACATAAACTAGCAGTCAGATACCATGACATGCCTTTCGTCATATCACCTCTTACGGAATAATACAGACAGCAATTCGACTAGGAAAATGTTGAAATTTTGAACAGAGAAAATACTAAAACAACTGTCAGGGAATTTCTAGAAAGCCTAGTACTCATGCTGCATTAGTGAACGTGTTACAGTGGGAAATTAGGTGGACTTCATCACAAGCCATCACAGCTTAGTGAACCCTTCATAATCAGAGAGCAATGAATGGTTGTTTCATCTTAGTCAGAGACTTTTCAGTAATGCCAGCTCACAGGTTTATTAGGAATCGGACAATGAATCTCTAAATTATCAGAGGAACAGGTTTGTTATTAAGCCACTGGCTTATAATCCAATCAGGTAACTTAAATATAAATAAATATAAATAAAACCAAAATACAGGCAATATTTGAAACATAAAGCCATAAATTACCAACTTATCAATAAAATACTCTATCACACATACCTCCTTCTAAAACTGCTAATGGCGCTTTAAGAGGCGGATGAGGAAGAGGAGGACGAGTATCTCCCAGGGGGATTGGTGGAGCAGGTGCACGTGATTTTCGACGGCTACGTCTACCGTTTAGATCGTATACTATAGGTGAAGTAGGTGTTGAACAAGAAGAGTCATGCGTAGTTTGCTTTCTGTCTACTGAATTGTTATAAGTAGCTAAATAAAAACAACAAAAATTAAAAGGAAGAATTATTTCCTTGGAAAAAAAACAGGTATAACACTAAAGCAATCGAAACATCAATACCTCAGAACTATGGAACAAGGAAGAAGAAGGATTCAGCCTTGTTGAAAAATGCCGTAGGAAAAACGGGTATCCAAAAGGATTTATCCTAAAGTACAGGAAAGAGAAGGACGACAAAGCGAAGTAACCAACAGTTAAGAAGAAAAGTGTTCATTTGCTTCCCATTCAAAGGAGAAGCACCCATCACCCTGAGAGGATAGAATCCAGGATCTATCAGTTACGAGGCAAGCTCGTAGACCATCCAGCTCCTGGGAACTGATTGGGAATTTCATGAATTTCCAAGTTCGAACCGCGGCGGGTGTCTATTACTGAAGAGTCTCAAACTGGGACGAAACAGTTATCCAGTATTCCCAGGTTTTCCAATGGTTCTCTAACTAACGTCAACTCGTGATCGAACATGAAATAAATCAAATCTCTACAAACCAACTCTTGAACAACGAACGAACCAGTTTTCTCCTCACTGTCTAACGAAACTTAAATCTCTGTATATTGACATTGATGAAACCAAATTCAAGTCAAAAGTCAAGAATGAACTACTATATTAGCATGAAGCAGAGATCCATAACTTTCTGCCGCAACTGCCTCAACTACTGTAACAACAGAAGACAAGGGCCAGGCAACAGATCCTTTATTAAGGAAAATCAACACATATTTATAGATTTTAATGTACATTATTGTTAGTAGAAAATACAGTCTTTTGATTAGTTGTTTCTCATAGAAAGTTAACCTAGCATCTCTTTGTGGCCGCGTCAGATCATCCACATGCTAACTGTATCCGCCTACGCAAAGCCTTTGTTCTCATTTTCTCACCACCAATATTGGGGACATAAACATTGACGTCAATTACTGTCTACCAACTTTGGCTAGCAGCCAGCTCTCACCACACTACCACCTAACAGCATTTCTAAGCACACCACAATGGCAAATCACTTCGCCTGGTGTTCACATTGCGAATGTGACTGATGGCGGTTAGTCAACACAAACACTAGGGACTAGTGTAACGGAATAATTGTTTAGAAAATCCCTCGTGAACCAACCATCTCATTATAGTATTTATACTTATTTATATTTTTCAACTTTTTTTATTTTGTATTCCTTTACGTTCCCAGTGGAACATAGGGTTTCAAGAAGCTAGAGGCTTGAAGTTTCGGTAACAGTGGTATTTACTTTTACGGGATGGGTTGCTAGTCTCATGCCCAACCTTTCCTCTTCACCAGCATTATTTCTGGCTTAGCGAGGCAAAGGAGTGCGTCGACCGGGGATTGAACCCCAGACCATGTGCATGGTCGGCGAGCGTCCTAACCGCTATGCCACCGACGTACTAGAGACTTATCCGATCCGTATAGCCGCCTAACGACATTGTAGAGGTAAATTTGAGTTTTTAGTGTTATTATTATTACTATCATTCGAGATAACCATCTTTTACTATGTTTGGATAGTCTTCTGACTGCGCGTAACTCAAGAAAGTTCAAGTTAGCTATACATACAGTACAACGTTTAAACTGATTTCTTGAGTTCAGACTATAACATGTGCGGTTTTTTTTATCATGGCTTGAAACCACACAGTATTTTTGGTACAAGTGTGCAATTTTCAACATGTGATATCGGTAGCCCAAATTTTGCAGGCCGACCATAGATATCAGGTGTGCGTCGGCAGGGGATCGAACCCCGGACCATGTGCATGGTCGGCGAATTTCCTAACCGCTGTACCACCGACGCACCGTCGCCAAAACTAGGTACACGACATTGGTTATATTCTAATGACTAATCTGTGTAGAGTAAATTTCATAAGAATACGATTTAAAAATAGAGTTATGGTACTTAGAGAGCTATACGTTGAGTGTTTTCCAATAAAAGATCTCTCAAATAACAACACACACTCACGACTTGAAAAAAAAATGATTAACACAAGAACCGCTTGCTTACCTTTAACTGGATTTCCAACAGATGTCAGTGTACTATGATGATTGGTTAATCTAGGCGGTTTAGAGACACTTGATTTATTCGACAGACCATTATTAATGCCTATTAATTGTGGTTTAAGTTGTTTTGGTGAACCTGAAGAAGATTTAGTACCATTGTGACAACTGTCAGCTCTTTCAAATGATCCTTGTCTTGAACATCTAATGTAATGTAAGAATATAACACAGAAAATGGTGAAAATTTTTAAAAAAAAACATTAGGCTTCTTGCAATACTCGCCTGCTTTGTACCTAAAAGAAACAGTTGCGAACCAGGTAGCGCGTCACGAAAAGCATTCCTAACAGCCTGCAGACTTTTATCAACTACTGTCACCTTCGCTGACGCCATATTGAAGTTCAGATGACCAGCAATAAGGATTAGCAACAAGAAACTCCAGGAACGAACCAACGAAAAACCTACTGTTCAAAAAAAATATTCCGAAGAAAATGGAAATGGATTGGACACATGCTGAAGAGACCGTTGAGACTCTGGTGAAAAATGACGAGTTTGGTATATTGGGTGACATCTAAAAGATCATGTGAGGAGATGAAAGCTTACGGGCAATCGTGGTTCCAGCTAAAGATAACTACAAAGAACAGGATGAAATGGAGATGGTGTGAAGTCCTCTGCTCCATTTGGAATCCAAGTAGATAGTAATAATAATATATAGTAAGTGTTATATGATAACTGTTTGGCATTTTGTGACTGTTAACACTGAAGACAATAAAGATGCTAAAAACTAGAAAAGCAGCAGGACCAGACGGAATCCCAGCAGAAGCATTGAAAATGGCCCCCGAGACATCAGCAGACTTGATGACACCACTACTGGAGAAGGTGTGGAAAGAGAGCAAGGTACTTGCGGATTGGAAGAAAGGCTACTTATTCAAACTGCCAAAGAAAGGGGACTTAGGCCAATGCAAGAACTGGCACGGCATTATGCTCCTGTCCATCCCAAGCAAAATACTAAGCTGCATCATCCTGGAGAGAACCAACCGCAAACCTGGATGAAAAACTTCGCCCGGAACAGGCTGGATTCAGGAGGAACAGGTCATGCATCGATCAAATCGCAACACTACAGATCATTACTGAACAGAGTTTGGAATGGCAGTCACCTCTCTATCTCAACTTCATCGACTTTGAAAAGGCCTTCAGCGAACAGCGTCGATCGAGAGGTGATTTGGCAACTACTTCGCTACTACAGGGTGCCACCAACAATTATACACCTCATACAACAGTTGTACGACAATGCTGCATTCCAAGTAATCCACAACGGGAAACTCACGGAATCCTTCGAAGTGAAGACGGGAGTAAGACAAGGCTGGCTGGCTGTCTACTATCTCCAGTGATTTTCCTGATTACGATAGACTGGATAATGCGACAGACAGCAGGTTGGGCAGCGAGTAAACAGGCATAAAACGGATCCACAAAAAAACCTGGAGGATCTGGTACAATTTTGATACTTTAACGTTTACAACCTTATTTTGTTCATATTAACGCCATACGCTTGAAACAATATAAATTCTGATGCAGTAGGATGACTCACATCGATAGACATGAAAGTGTTAACTAAACAAACATGAGACAAGCACAAATACACACACAAAAAACACAAGCCTACTGGCTTTTTTAGCAAAACGTGTAAACAGTAGTGTATGATTACAAGGAACAATCTTGGTGACAACAGAACATGATACTATTTGGAAACAGGATTACATATTGGCAACCCAATGTACACATATAGGTGAAATATGTCTACTATATGTTAAAATCACAATTTGCAAATGCCTTCCGTATTGTGCTTCTTTGTCTTCCTTTCATGTTTTACATGATGTTTCACAAGCATTGTTTATTTACATTTGCATTTATATACTACTTATAAATCTTATGAGTAGTACATGTCACATCCTCACAATATCATCACTGGGACACATTTATGGCATATTCAATATCGAATAACAGGAGAAAAAGACAGAAAGAGGACAGGACAGTAAATTTACTACGACTTGTTGAAGCAATTATAATCAAACGTTTCAAACTAAACCTGTGCGCGCAGAAAGAGAGTGTAACCAATTTCTCACCCTCTAGGTAACTTCATTGCGATTACACTGATCAGTAATACATATTAGTGATTTCACCTCACTGAGCAAATTTCAATATTATGAAATATAATCTTGAGCTGATATGTGAACTTATAAGCTAATAGAGTTTATTAGTTGTTTTTTTCTGTTTTCTGTCTTCTCCTCTACTACCCTCCCCACCCCGTCTAGTTTTCTACTTTGAAAGGTGTGCAAATTGACGGTAACTAAAAATTGTAATGCCTACATTTCGGATGTATTAATTTTTATAACATTTACTCTATTACCACTCAAACATTGAAGTATGCTATTGTCATTCCTTTACAACCATTTTACTTTCATGTAGTTGGCAGCTGATGAGGACCTGAGAAATAGAATATGTTATATACACCCTAGTTTTTCCAAAACACTACATTTATTTTTACAGTACAGTGATGTGTTTGTATTCCCCCTCCCCCCCCACACACACACACACTTATGACCTCTGAACTCTATTGGCTGTTAACTGTTTGGCGTATCAAATGAAGGTCATTTAAGCTCAAATAATGGTTTACAGTGGCAATATTTACTCTAAGAAGTGTTTAAAATAATTACCACCTGCAGGTTCTCACGTTTCTACTAAATTTCAGAAGAAGCATAATCGTGGTTAGTAACACATATCACAATACATGAAATAATTGTTTGTATGTTGTGTCCTTGGGCCTCAAAATGTACTCTTGAACTTTTGATGATTGTCTGGTTTTCAACTAAATGTCGTGCATGTCTCGGAGACAAATAAGAATAAAATATTATAAAGGATTGGGGTTTGCGATTCGAGTCAAACAAAATGGTGTCAAGCAGTCTACTGTCAAATCAAAATTTTAAGTGAAGATCCTGGATGAAAGGAAAATATTTTGTAATTGATTCTCCGCTGGACATTCTAACCAGAATAAAGTTGCTATTATTATTAGTGATGATCCAATTTTTTTAGTTTTACCACAGAATGATATAGATTAGAGGACTATTGGAAACCAGAGAAAGAGTTTCATTCGAGTTTAGAGCTCTTGGGCAGTACGCATCCCGTGAGTTTCGAACCAAGGACCTTCTGGTTACCATTCAGCCACCAGGAACCAAATCATTATTATTTTCATTTTTATTTTACTCCTTTATGTTCCCTCGAGAGGAACCCGAAAGGGAAGCGGCGAGTGGGACGTCCAAGGGTGACATAGAGGAGATCGTGTGAAGAGCAGCTGAAACAGTATGGACTAAAATGGATGCAGGTGAAAAGTACAGCAGAAAACAGAAGCAAGTGGAGATGTGCAGTTGAAGCCCTATGTTCCACTAGGAACCCAAGGGAACCATAATAATGATGCTCCCAGTGGAACATAGGGCTTCAATCTAGAGTTTTGACGTTTCGGTAGCAGTGGTATTTATTTTTACGGGATGGGGTTGCTAGCCCCATGCCCAACCTTCCCTCTTTATCAGTCTTATTACTGGCTTAAATAGTGTGTCCGCCGGAGATTAAAAACCCCGAACCACCTACGCCAGTACCTTACCGTTGTGCCACCGACCCACAGCGGATCCAACTCAGTAGCCCATGAATTCTAACTTCTACCGATTCGGGATTTTTGCGCGACCACCAGCCAATGTAATCGGCAAGTACTTGTCTTGACTTCCAGTACTCCCTGGTTTCCAGTGGTCTTCTAACTGATATCAATCCGTGGGCAGACTTGAGACAGATCAAATCCCTACAGACTAGTTCTTGAAAACGAGTCGTCTTCATCATTTAGCATGACCACTACAGCACACACACACACACACACACACAAGAATACACCAAGAGTTATTATTATTATTCCATAAGGTTCCGAGTGGAATATTGGGCTTCAACAGCACATCGCCGTCCAGTAAAGTGTTGATCTAGTAAACTAGACGAGCTTCTAACAGATTGTTATTATCATGTATTCTATTCAACTACCTAGTTACTATGTATGCTGTGTTGTATGCACTAGTTGACATTCTCCAAAGGTAGAAAATTTTTTGACAGAAAAGGAGGGACTATGTAAACATAACAAAGACTAAAATCACCCCCCCCCACACACACACACACACATCTACATATGACACACAATATTACTGTACAAGGTGTCCTGTTTATTGTCCATGTTTTTAAATTTATTATCACAATCACAGATCACTTACACAAACATTTCTGTGTAATTATCCGTGTGTGTGTATTTGTGGTTGTGGGTGTGAGTAAGCAATAGAGAGAAGCGAAAACAAATCCAAAAACTGGACTATTATCCAGCAACCGGAAGTCCACTCACGCACGCACACACACACGCGCATGACATTCGGACTACTAAACTGCCCGTAGTTGTAGTGTATACCTTGTGTTGTAGCATTTATCACAAGTTGATAGATAGTATAGGATAAATAGGTTGACAGTAAATTAGTAACTGGTCAATACACTGTTGGATTTTTCAAGTTATACAGCACAGAAAACACAGGAACTTTTGTTTTGCTGACGAAATTTCAATATGGATAATAATAATAATAATGTGCCAGCTTACGTCATCTCTGGCGTAGACATGATAGCCGGCTATGGATCATAAGATGTATGTGTATTGCGATCCAGTTCGCTCCGTCCTTTTTCCATCCCTATGAGATGTGGTCATTGAAAGTCAGAGATATGAAAAGGTTAGCTATCCTTAACAACCATAGGTTAGGTTGAGAGATATTGGGGTTAGGTGTAGAATGTTAGGTAAGAAGGGAAAATTAATCGTTAACATTGTGAATCTTCATCGACTTAGATGACTAAGAAAGACACGGTGTTATGGATGCCTTCCTCGACGAGCAATGTTATCAAACCAAAAAAGCATGACATCACACTATGAAGGCTTGGACAACTGTCGGTTTACGCCAGCCACATAGGGAGGTTCACATTGAATGGTTTGGGTTTCTTGGGATTATAAGATTCAATGGGTGGAGATGTTGTTGGCTGAAAACCGCTCTGAATGATCTTTATTTCACATTAGTATCTACTCAAAGCTGGATTTGTTTAAATCTCGCACAGCAGACATAGGCGGTCTTTTCAAATTAAACAAAAAAATCAAGACAGGAACGCATAAATTGTTCATACAGATCACTTCTGACTAGCAACATACATATATATGTAAACAACAGACTAGCAGTTCTGAAATGTGAAAAACCAAACTTCAAAGAGCAAGTCTCCAAGTAAAGAAAGCGATTTCATTAAATACATAAACACAAAGAACGGACTGGTTCGCTTACCTTCGTCCATTATGCGCATCACTGACTGTATTAAAGTTGTTTTTCGAATCACCGCTGGTGTGAAATCTTGCCAGTGAATTAGACCTAACAGCTGATGAGCGATTATTTGCTACTGTATTGTTGTTGTTGTTGTCGCTGTTGTACGAAATGAAGGATCTGGAATGCTGTTTGGTATCACAGTGATAGTCTAAATGAAAGGAGAAAGTAATTGAAAGCAATGTGTACACATTGTATAGTGAATTACATGGAAATATATAGCTCGACAGTTTATATGAAAAAGAGAAGACGTTCAGCGAAGAGACTCTTTTCGACGGCGAATTCATTCACATAGCTGTACAATCGCATTTATATATAATTATTTGTATGCGTGTGTGTGTACATGAGGTTTGTCAAGTTTAGATAATTAATCAGGTAATACAAGAATGATCTAATATAGAAACAAGGTTAATTAGACAGTAACTAAAGTAAGATTGAGTTAGTAAGTTAGATGACGTAATATAATTGACTAAAATGTTTCAACAGAGGTAATTACAGGTAGAGACTAAGTAGAAGTGGGGTAGAGAATAATGCCATTTAAATTAGAACTAAAATTGAGCAAATAAGTTGGATGACGTAACATAAATGACTAGAAATTGAGCGTTGCTCAAGTCAGCAACAGTGGTAATGAGGAATTCGACGGAAAGAGTCTTTTCGCTGAACGTCTTCTCTTCTTCATATGACTCAATGGGGTTTTTTAAGATACTCGACAGTTCAGGTACTTAAATTTTAACTGATGAACTTAAAGTTAGAATTCCCCTCAAAGCCAACCAAGGTTTGGATAATCACGCATATATATATATATATATATAAGTATGGCTGATGGCGTAGGCGTGAGAGATGTCCATAAAAGGATGTATGCGTGAGAGAAGAATAACCATAAAAGGATAATCTGTCTACATATGAAGCATACAGACAATCTCCATAAAAAAATATACAAAAATAATAATTTAATTTAAGCAGACAGTCTGAGATGTTCAAAAGAGGAGGTCAACCGCGAATAGGAATGGTTAGGTAGTAAAGTCTCAAACTGTAGCACTGTGTGATGCGGGTATGCATCTAAGAGGGAACATTAATTCCTTCAACTTTGCCTCACGAGTACCAGCAAACTTAAAACGTAGCTCCAGAGATTCCTATCAACCGCCATAAAAACCATCTAACGCCAATTCGAAGTGCACTGCTTTGATACGTTACCTACCTTATTGACCACATCACAAAACCAGAGACAAATAGATACTTCAGTCAACACTAACATAAAGGATTAAACGTATAACAATTTTTACTCCCTGGTGACTGTAACAGAATAGTGTTGTTTGCAAAATACCTCCTCAACGATCTACTTACGATAATACCACTTATTTGAATATTTCAACTAACCTGTCATTCATTATCCTCTTTTCCCCTAGACTGTATTTCTTTGATCTAACGTTTGCGTATCGTATTTTGATTTGTTTGCATGGAGGATTTCATCATGAGCTGATATTAGTTAGAGAATCATTGGAAAACCTGCAGGGAGTACTGGACAGCTGTTTCGTCCCTGTTTGGGACTCTTCAGCAGTAAGCACCCACCCACTGATATCAGCTCATGATGAAATCCTACAACCAATAAAACAAAATCCCTACAAAACCAATACTTGAAAGTATGTTGATTTGATCCTTATTATTTGCCGTTGTCCCTAATTAATCCTTAATTTTAATGCTTCTCCTTATGGTTGTGTGATGGTACTGATGATATGTTGTTTCATGACTGCAATTTATTTGAGTAAGTCAAGATCATTCTGACTTTGGACTGTCTGCGGGAATTTTTTATATTGGTGTGTGATTCTTGATGACAGAGTTTTTCTCCCCCCATGTTGGGAATATTCCACTTGATTGTCAGGTGCTGCTTACGGTTTATTTCTGGTCAACTAATTTTGTTCTACAGTACTTATTTTTAGCTAGAAATTTATCTAATTAGTATAGGCGCCTAACGGCACTTTTGAGGTAATTTCGGGTTTCTATATATTATTGTTGTTAAATAGTATCGTCTTTTTGCTATCTACGGGACATTTTGTAACTGCGCGCAACTCAAGGAATTCAAGGCTAGCTATACAGTAGAACGCATGGATCGGTTTCCTGAGTTCAGACCACATTATGTGGGTTTTAGTCGCTTCAGTGACCAACCAACACAGCTTGAAAAAAGATCTCTCATAGACGTCTTCCAAAAGAATGGATATCCACGGAATTTCATCAAAAGACATATACCCTGAAGCCAACCTACCAAATTAAAGGTCTCCAAGAAAAACACAAAGCAAATCGCCCTACCATATATAAAGGACATCTCAGAAATCAGTGCAAGACTCTGCAAATTTTTAGGAATTGACATCGCACACAAACCAACAAAATCACTTCACTCAGCTGACTCTATGTCAACCAAAAGACTCAACAACGAAAGAAGATAAAACCGACATCATCTACAAAATAAATTGTAACAACTGTGAAGAACACTACATTGGCCAAAGTGGACGTCCTCTTCATCTTCGTATCCATGATGATTAACTAGCCGTCAAAAGACATGACATCCACTCCCTCGCTCATATCGCTGCACACAGAAAACCATGGACATCAATTCGAATGGGACAACCAGCGTTCAAATATTAGACAGAGGAAACACCAAAAATGCTAGAGAATTTTTAGAAGGCTGCCTGGTATTCCATTGAATCATCAATCAATAGACGCATTGACATAGACAAAATTTACCAACCGATAAGAAGGAAACCTCACACACAAAGGGTCAAAGTTCAAGTCAAGGAAACAATCAGTTCCAATACAAGTAGCCTAGAAGGTGTGAGAACACACAAAAACAACCAATCGCGTTCAAGGTAGCTCATCAGGAGAGGTGACTAATAAAGTCGTGGAGAAATCTAAAAGCTCACTTCAATTCAACTTGAAGTATGCGCTGGAGATGTTGCCTAGTAGGGCAATGAAAGCTTCGCAAATAAACCATCCAGCTCAGAGAACACAACCACATCAACACAACTTCAGATGTGTAACGCATAACTAACCACTTGATATCTTGAAATGTTAAATCAACTAAAACAGATGCAAAACGTGTAGGGAACAGATCATTTGCACACTGTGAAATTTGGGACTGTGGGCAGCGGTGTTAGAGACTGTAAATTTAATGTTTGGAAATTCTAAGGCATCAGGGTTGAGAGTTATGACTGTTAAAGAGCAGACAGAGTTTCATTTTTATGATACTGAAATATCTCTGGGTCATAAAATCAGATAAAAACCATCATATATGCTTGAAGTCAATGCCAGACGTCATAATCACCTCAAACTAGATGATAACTTTTAACAATTCACTCAGACTAATGACAGTGTCATGAAGTACAACCACTAGATCTGGTAATTCTATGTTCAAGTATTGGTTTGTAGGGATTTTGTTTGATTGGTTGGAGGATTTCATCATGAGCTGACATCAGTTAGAGAACCATTGGGAAACCACTAGCGAGTACTGGACAGCTGTTTAATCGGCCTAGTTTGGGACTCTTCATCAGTATGCAACCACCACCAGGGTTCGAACCCAGGACCTTCTGTTTACAAGACGAGCTCGTAGACCACTGGGACCCGCCCTATCCAATGACCAGGCTATGGATTCTAACTTCTGCCAATTCATGACATAGAGCGACCACTTCACAATGTCTTCTTCGATGAGTTACTCCCTTACCTTCAACTTGCTATAACATAGTGGTCATGGCTTTCCACTAGAATCCCAGGTAACTGCCTGAATAGGGCCAGTCACTAGTGAGCATCAGATCAATTTTCAAGCATTGGTTTTGTAGGGATTTTGTTTGATTGGTTGGAGAATTTCCTCACTGCTGTAGAGTCCCAAACTAGGACAGAGGAAACAGTTGTCAACTCCCTGCAGGTTTTCCAACGGTTCTCTAACTAATGTCAGCTCATGATGAAATCCTCCAACCAATTCTATGTTCCACTATACAAGAAGCTGAGAATATGAGACCTTCGAAATTCTAAACATATAAGGGTCAAATAACTATTATTCGCATTTCTATTGAGATTTTCATTAGATATCAAAATCTGTGATTTAAAAATAACATTTACATGAATTGTATAGTCAAGAACAACAACAACAGCAACAACAAAAAACACAACTCACTTTTGTGATTAAATCATTACTGAAAGTGTTTCGGTTATGCGTTACTGCAATACGACTGACAATATGTCGTGGTGAACTCCCACCAGATGAACAATGACCATTACTTCGATCACCATCACTCAGTGTATCATTTTCAGCATGTTCAGCATGAGATGACAAATCAGTCAAGGAGATTTTTAATCCTTGAGTAAGTCTACTCAAATTTTTTGTAATACTTGTTGATGTAGCACAGCGCTGCTTCGTATGACTGAGATTTGTCGTCATTGTTAACGGGACAGTTGCACATCGATGATGAGCCAGTGTATTTCTAACATCATCTAAAGTTATTTCATCATTCAGGGGACATTGATGCCTAGCAGTAGTAGGTGAGAGATTATTTTCACTATCAATAATACAGGCTAATTCCCGTAGTGGACTGAAGATTTCATCCAAATCTCGAGGAGATAAAGCAACCATAGCTCGAGCTTTAGCTATATACTGTTCATATGTTCGACCGAATGTAATCACATCATAACTTGACGCGTTTGGACAATCAATATACACTGATGGAGTTATCCCATTGCCAGTTGGTATCGAGTTACTGGTCAATGATGATTTGTGACTAACAGGGAAGGACGGAGATGAAGAACAATGCGATAAAGTCTGTGATGAAGGGGAAGTTGGAACTGAGAATTTGGAGTTATCTACAATATTTGCATAAAAGAGAATGTGAGATTTTCATTAACCAATAAAAAATACATTAGTAATAATAACAGCTTCATTCTTGAAATTATGTACGAGCACAAAACAGGACTCTCAGCGTAACTGCTTGCCAATGAATACTCCTCATATTGGATCTCCAAATAAATATTCATCGACAGAATATCGTATAATGCAACATCATTCCACCTTTAAATACAAAGATATTTCTCCTTCATTTTCTATAGTTTGGTTTGTAAGGGTTAGTTATGTTTTACGAGTTGATCGCGGACTGATATCAATTAGAGAAC